CGCTTCAAACAGGCATTTTATTATAGTACATCAATTTCTAACTGTTTAAAAAAGGTTTGAGAAGAAAATTGGGATCAAAACCCATACGAAAGTCTAGTTTTTGGCGCTTGTGGCCATCATTGCTCATTATTGAAAAGAAATTTCCTCTTAATGTAGAGCAAACTTGGAGTGCAAAATCTTATTCTCAAGGCATTGACACAGTCTTAACATTGGGAAAAAAATAAGGCAACGTAAACCATGGGTCTATGGTTGCTGCAATGGCCAGTTGCGAAAAAAGCAGCTCTTTTTCACTTCTCTTAAAAATTGAGTTGACACTGCAGCAAAACGTCTTCCCAAATTTCACTTGTCAATTTTCCGTTCAATATGTACACCCCGCAACAWTATTTCAGACAAKTYAAAGGAAAYATTGATCAGYGTAATARCARYGCMTTTAATGTAAAGTCAGTCTAATTACATACAAAAAAATGAACCTTGTTTTAGTTTTATGAAATTGCTTTTTTTGGCTAATTTGAACAGATAAACATTTGTATTGAACCTAAACTACAAAGTAATGTCTCTTTTTGCTATCATAAAACTAATATTTGCCTTTAAACAATAACTGATAGGGTATTTTAGAGAATATGCTTGGGTCTGTCACATCGATTAACTGAACCAGCTCTCTTCAGTATTAAAAAATAGTTATGCTAAGTGTATGTACTATTGTCCCTAAATTCTTTACATCTTTCTTATAAAATCTTATTGTAGTTCAATATTGTCTCTAAATTCTTTACATAATTCTTGTATAAGTCTTATCGTAGTTCGATATGAACATCAGCAGACGGCCACGGATTTGGGGAGCAGACGTTTTTTTTTACGAAATACTCTTTCTTCAACTCTCTGCGGAAGTCTTCCTTAAAAAGTCTGTACGCAAAACCGTTGATGGCAGGATTTCCCATTAATCGTTTAAATTGCCGTTCTGCGGTTCATTGTATTGTTGATTATGGGAGTGCTAGGTAGATATTTTAGACAGGCACGCGTAGCACTATATTTGAAAATACCTAGTGAATGACAGAGTTGTCCATATTGGATCCCAATTTCAATGTCAAACGCTTAAATGTCCATTCAATGCAGATAAATAAATGACTTTCTCTGTCACAGCCCTTGAATGTAATAAAGATAAAGTCTTATATTGGAGTTAATGCAAAATAAAAAATAAAAAAGATAAGAAAAAGGAATTAAAACTAGTTTTCATTATTTTTTGCTTTGTTATTTGTTTTTGTTTCATTTGGCTTTGTTTTTTTATATGTATTATTTCGTGATCTCAATTTTGTTTTGCTGAATTACATAATGGAACGTACCATATTACTGTTCATGTTAGATTATTATGAAAAGAATTGCTTTTATTTTCTATTGGTCTGTAGATTATGCCTATGCATTTATTGAACTAGTCCAACTTCCTTTTTACAATAACTTACAAATTTCTCTCGCGCTGATTTTTTATTTTGTATCATCAATAAGAGGACAGACAGATAAAGCTGACGT